CATGAATACCCCACTCAGACACATTATACTGACTCCGAGCCGACCAGTCCTTGTTGTACCCATCAATGCCGAACGCCAGGCAGGGACCAACAAGTACCATATTTTAACGTCTTTTGGTATGACGCGGTCGGGGATCGAACCCACGACCTACCGCTCTCCGGGCGGACGCTCTAACCACTACACCACGGAGGCGGTTAGTAAAATAAGGAGTTTTTTCCATCTGAATATTTAGTACAACACATGAAATGGTGTTCTTCATCCACAAAGACAGAGCATTGATCACAGAGACGGATATCAGGATTACATTCGGTTTTACTTTCTTCATGATTTAGTTCGGGTTAAAAGAAAATATTTGACATAAACCAGAAGCTAAGGAAGAATGAAAACCCCGGAGGTATAATCCTACACAATATTGGTCTAATGATCTACAACTCTGCAAGCTGACAGAGTATTTTTGTCATTGTCTTATAAGCATTTATTTTTAAGTTTCACAGTCTGATCCAAGGTGTCAAGTTGAACTATAGTGTTACACTTTCACAAAGTTTCTCCTCTGAATTGTACATCCAGCTACTAAAGTAAACCATCACATCGTATATAACGATGACTACAGAAATAAAATTAGTTGTATTTCTTTCAACCAACAATTTGCAGATGTGCAGCAATTCCTTGCAGTCAAAGGATCAGAGGCTGCACATATCAGCATGTTTGACTAAACGTTTACTTCTTTGCTTAAAATGTACATCAAGGCAAAACCAGTTTTTACCATGTTGTTTTCTAAAGATGAATTGACGGGATGTTCATGAAAAACACAGCATCGAGAAATCTTTACTAAATTTGTATCTAAAATGAGAGGAGACAAGATTTAATTCAAGATTGTGTGGAAAGTTTCGTGAAGAAATTCACTAAAAAGGAAAAACACGATTTTTTTCAATCTGAAAGTAGCAAATGTGACACTTGAGCACATGGCTGATTGATATATATATGTGAAACATTTCCTGGTGATATACTGAACACACTGTGGGTTACGCTCCACGAACTAAACAGACAGAGATACTCATTATACGACCCTGTCTGAAAATCTCATGGGCAGGTGTGTATCGAGAAACAAGAAGCTTACTTTCATTTCTCAGCTGTTTTTATACTTTAGAGCCCAAGATTTTCAAGACTTTCCTCTTTTTTATTCTCAAGATACTTAAGAGTGTGGGTGTGTTTAGTTTTACGCCACACTCAGCAATATTTGAGCTATATGACGGCGGTCTGTAATAATGGAGCCTGGACCAGACAACCCAGTGATCAACAGCATGAGCATCAATCTATGAAACTGGGATACGATGACATGTGTCAACCAAATCAGTGAGAGTGACCACCCGATCTGGTTAGTCGCCTCTTACGACAAGCATGGGTTACTGAAAATAAATTCTAACCTGGACCTTCATGGATCTGCAAGGGTTTGAACAGACTGCACACTATGGGTTTGGTGCTGACAGACCAAAGATAGAACAATACTGGATTCAAACCCCAGACCATCACCCCTCTTGTCTGGGAACTGCTGTCTAGTGTGGTCTAACTGGCCATGTCACCCACACGACCATATGAGAAACTAGACTGCAAACTTGTTCATACAGAATGTTATGATTAACTGTTGCATGGGCCTGTGCTTCACCTTAGGGAGTGACGTCTGCTCCAGCTGATGGCGTGGACAGTTCTGCAGCTCATCCTGCCTTTATGGCACAGCTCACGTCTTCCGCTGAACGTCTCTGTCCTCTCCATCAGTCCCGAGTGTCAGGCTGCAACAGAAGTTAATCTATTTGTGGAAGATGCTGCATCATCTCTCAAACCCTGCGCCATCATTTATCTCAAATCTGATTTGTGCTGAGTTGGCTTATAATGAGTTTATGTCTCAAGTTTCATACATATTTTATGGGTTTCCATTACATCACATTTATGTATTCATTGCAGATACTTCAAACAGAGTTGACACTGTCCCTATGGGGGTTTAATTTAAAGTCTGTGATATCACTTTGCTGTGAGACGGAAGAAGCCATATAGTAAGGTAAACACCGAATGTAAGACAAGAACGAAGATTTAAGGCGTCAAAAAGACCCAACTTAAGTGTAAGTAAAGGGAAGGATGTTCTTTTTCTGTTAATGGTATTTCTAGCTGAACATGTCAATGTGTATTGGTCAAAAACATAAATTATCAAACCTATATATCAATTATACAAATATTCTTTTAATATTTCTCTTAAAAAACTCTTTTATAATAACCTTTTTCAGAACAATTATGTTTTAAATATGCATAAGTTTAAGCTGCTTTTAATTTTGACAAAAGTGACAGATTCATGAGTAAATTAGAATGTGTGGATTAAATATGTTCAACAATTTACCTTGAAATCAAAGTAAAATACAACCTTAGTGTCTGTTCTCTGTTTAACATTGATATTTGATATTGTAGCATTGAAACTGTCTGCCAGCATGTTCCAGAACAATTCTGTCAGAGCTTGAACATGACATCAAATAATATGAACACAATTCTTTCAAAACTGGAAGTTACATGAAAGTGAAATCAAAATGCTGATATCATGTTTCAGAAGTTTCTCTCCCATCATTTAAAAAAGATAAGAGTATTGCTAAACAATAAGATGCAAATTAAACCCACGAGGAGCACTGACAACATAAATGTAGGCCGGAAATGGGTTTCACACATTGTATCCATGTGGGGAACTGAGCTCAGGTCTTTGACATAACGAGCGGATGCTTTAACCATTAGGCTACCCCGCCACCCCAGATGACAAGGACTAGGACTAGATTTTGCAAAATGCTGACAGGATCTGTCGGAGGCAAATGATGTGGTTGGTTGGTTGGTTGGTTGGTTGGTTGCTGTTTAACACCACACTCAGCAGTATTCCAACTATGTGGTGGCAGCCTGTAAATAATCCAGCCTGGACCAGATAATCCAGTGATCAACATCATGAGCATCAATCTACACTATTGGGATATAACATTTGACAACCAAATCAGCGAGTCTGACCACCTGATAATGCTAGTCACCTCTTATGACAAGCATGGGTTGCTGAAGACCAATTCTAACCCAGATCTGCAGGGATCCAAGGCAGATGGACCAAGGACAATGATTCTGTATGACCAACACACAACATACTCTGCGAGTCAGAGGTTTGATCTACATACCCCATAGCTAGAGTCAGCTGAGAAGACTATCTTTCTTAAAACACAGACTTATCAATTATAATTATTATTATTAAAGTGGAATAAAATGTACAGCAAAAGTATCATAACTGACAAATATAATACACACCAGACTTTGAATGCCCAGTGTATGCTAATCTTGTATGCTGTGATTAGGCGCATCTCCCAGAATCGGGGTTCGAATCCAATATGGTGCTCAACTCAAAAAGTACTTGAAATTGTACTTCATTTAGAAAGTGTAATCAGTCCTAAATAAGGCATATCACACATCAGACAAGACTGGAGTCAGATGTGAATGCTATGTTCAAAATAAATAAAACACTGTCATTATGTTTGTAATGAGCTTTAGAACTGATGGCTCTTGATGGTTTAGACAACATTCACCATGGAAAGTTAAGGATTTCCTAATATATGACCAGCGAGCTGTACAGTGTAAAGAAAGTTCCGAATGCTGGAGGGAATTTCAGGATTTTATGTCTCTTCTTTATGTAATGATTATAGGACTGCTTCTGTCAATCTGTGAATGGCTCGGTTATCAAGCATGCTTGTATCAAGTCACGTGGTTTTAGATTAATTCAGTCATGTATGATAGTTACTGTTCACAGAATGGAATCATTAACAGACATATATCATGCAAAATTGGCTTCATAATTTTGTTATGGGATCTTTAACCATAAGTTTAAATTTAAATTATCACATCAACTGATAAAAACAAAGATATTACTTATTTATATATACATGCTTCACTTTGATTGCATGAGACCATTTGATTCATGATTCATATGCAAGTATCTGTCATTGATGACAAGGACGATGGCGGCTGTTGCTGGAGGTGTACCTGTTGGAATTTCCAAAAGAAACTACATAAAAATGAAAAATTTCCTAACCATGAAAGGCATGATGAGAAGCAAGAGTATTTGTTTTTGAAATTTTCATATTATTCCATCGGCCATTGAGTCTTGAGAGTCATGAAACAACAAACATTTGGGCGGGTCAGATAAACTTGAATAAAACTATGAGCTATGAAATTATTGTCACACATTACATTCTACGGAAAGAGTTCCTTCCGTTCCCCCAACTCTAAACCTAACACTAATCCTTGCCCTAACTTAAATTTTGGACTTTTAATCATTTTGTGAGTTCTCTAGTAATTGTTGTGTTAAGTTTTGTTTATAATTCTAGAATATTCATACATTTTAGGCAATTAAAACGATTGTATGGAGATTTTCGTTTCCAATCTAGACTGACTGACCACCCCTGCTTTTTCAACAGAATATTTATACATATTATTTGGGATGGGGAACGGGAGGAACTATTACCCATTCTACTAACAGTATCGATGAATACATAAGTTCTGCATGTTTCACAACACCCGAAACTTCTGTCCTAATGTAACTTATAGTTGCGGGTCTTCTGCCAGCGATTTCTTTCCAGCTACTTTCCTGTTGGCGTCTATGTGAGCGTGACTTGATGAGGCAATGGACTTTTTGAAACCACAGCTAAATTACTTTATTCCTAGCTTCCATGCAAATATTCCCTGGCTGTGCTTACACTTCCGTTTACTCTTCGTTCATTTTCTGTTGACAAATACACCCGTCTGTCAGCATGGTTTTATTATCTACATAGTTTATCTTTAGCACAGTTGTGCACCTTGTGCTTGTCTTATCGGGAGAATCCGCATCAAACTCCACACAGGGTTTACGAATTCACTATAGCTCTACCACTCATGTAATCAACAGCCCCGCAACGCTGCTAAAGAGCTTACAGTAGATCTATAAATAGCCCACTACGTCATGGCGCAGTCATTGCACCACTACCGGGAAATCCAGGCAACGGAACGAATCTATTTATAAACACTGCAATACGCATCAATATAAGGCAGGTGGGTGTCGTCTTCACCAGCGACTTTGGTTGATCTTCACTACAGAAGGTAAGGGTACTTTCAGTTTCGGTAGACGTTAACTGTGACAGCGGTGGTGATGCACGACATGCACAGGGGCGAACCAGGAAGTGAAAAGTGCATTCATATTATATACACGGTTAGACCGTGCAGCAGATTCCCATCGCATGTTCACATTTACACTTGGGAGCTTAAAACTGTTTATGTTCCCCATAAAAAAACAGAGGAATTTATGAAAAAATACAACTAATCAGATATAGGCCATTTTCAGTGTCAATCAATTCATGGCCCTAAGGGACCGTTCATAATTTATGGCTGGGGGGTGATGATGATTTTAACGGGGGTCACCCATTTTGTTCTGGGGAGGCAGGGGGTCACCAATTTTGTACACATGTGCTAGGGGGTCATCAATTTTGTACATAAAATATGCAAAAAATATACAAAAAAATGATGGGAAGGGGGGGGGAGGGGTCATTCATTTTGTACATGACATGCAGGGTGGGGTCACTTACTTTGTACATACATTTTAGGGGGGTCATTCAAATTGTACATGCTTCTCCATAAAAATCATCTTCACCCCCCTAGCCATAAATTACGAACGGTCCCTAATTTGTTATTATTTGTATCTATTTAACATACACCTTAATAATCTTTACCATGGTATTTAACACAAAATATCTAAAAAGAAAGAAGATCTGCTGTCCGAGTATTATAAGCCACTATATACCATTGCTTTAGGGCAGGTTTGCCTCCCTTAGATGCTCCAGGATGCACTGTTATTGTGTGTCCTGATCAATATATACATGTTTAATGATTCCTGACCAATGTTTATGGCTGCACAACCTTGGGGCTTTCTTTTGACAATATAAGACATGCGATTAATGATTATAATAATAATTTATTGCCTTTTTCAGGAAAATATTTCTGAAATATTGTATTTCTACTCTCCCTCCCTAAAACAAGGAAACTAATGACTGAATTATCACAGATTATCACAGAATGTTAAATTTCCTGTTTGTAACATGACTGATATTTGTTGTAGGTCAAATCTGGCTTCGGAGGGTATTAAGGGAACATCATCACCTGTTGCCATGGCGTCCGCTAACACTCAGCAAGCAGAAGAAGCTGCAGCGATCAAAGCTGCCCATCCAGGTGGATGTCGTGTGATGACTGATGTTGGGAGGTTCACTCATGTGGTCACAGTTCAACCCATGAATATGGACGCAACCATCAAATTCCAGCTGGAAGGTAGGAATAAAACACGGGAAACTTAAGTCCATTGAATCATGTGTTCTAGGGACTCAGAAATTCTCATTGAGATTGATGACGTTGATGTGTTAACATAGGTGAATAGGTAAACCAAACTCAATTTTACTCAATGTTGTTAAAGGCCAAGCTATTCAGCAAGAGAAGTTTTTTAAACTATACATTGGGAATTATGAATAACTGAAGATCACTGATATTAAGTTTGGTAGCTTGAATACTCCTTTGGCTGGGATTATATAACACACAAAACATGTCTAACCACTGGCTGACAAATCTGGGGTTCGAACCCACACACTCAGAGTCAGGCACCTAATCGCCAGCACAAAAGGTCAACCGCCTAACCCGCTCAGCCACTGTGGCTTCTACAGTGTTACAACTGAAAGTGCAATCATGAGTGAGTGAATGAGTGAGTGAGTGAGTATGGTTTTACTCACTCATTCAGCACTTTCAGCGATACTCAAGCTACATCATAGGGGATATCCAACTTTGACAATTTGAATTATTAACACTGGTCTTCAGCAATAAGAGCTTTAACCGCGAGGCAACCAATCATCCGAAACATGGCATCACAAATCAGTGGTCACGTGTGAATCTTGTCACCCTTGAGACTTGACGTTATGTGGTGTGGATAGCTGTGGATTAAGTTATGCTTCAACGCACCACTGTAATACCATGCATATTGCTGACAGCGGGGGAGTTACGTGTTGGTAACACCACAGCAAGTAATATTGCTGACAGTGGGGAGTTACGTGTTGGTAACACCACAGCAAGTAATATTACTGACAGCGAGGGAGTTACATGTTGGTAACACCACAGCAAGTAATATTGCTGACAGTGAGGGAGTTACGTGTTGGTAACACCACAGCAAGTAATATTGCTGACAGTGAGGGAGTTACGTGTTGGTAACACCACAGCAAGTAATATTGCTGACAGTGAGGGAGTTACGTGTTGGTAACACCACAGCAAGTAATATTGCTGACAGCTTAGGGAGTTACGTGTTGGTAACACCACAGCAAGTAATATTGCTGACAGCGAGGGAGTTACGTGTTGGTAACACCACAGCAAGTAATATTGCTGACAGCGAGGGAGTTACGTGTTGGTAACACCACAGCAAGTAATATTGCTGACAGCGAGGGAGTTACGTGTTGGTAACACCACAGCAAGTAATATAGCTGTGGAATATCTGTTACGTTGTTGATTGCAATGTAGCTGTACTTTATCTGAAAGTGGCATGGTAATTAACAGATCTGTATTTTTCTCTCTTTGCAGCTTCATATCCAAGCAAGGTCCCAACTGTAACAGTGAGATCCGAGGCTCTTTCTGATGATGATAAGCTGGAGCTTCAGAAATATCTCCTGGAGGAGGCTGAGGTTAGCCTCAACACACCAATGATTCAGTGTCTGGTGGACAAGGCTACCATATGGCTCAAGAGTAGTGGAATGAGATCAGGGGAAGTCTGGCCGGTCAAGTGAAGCTCACTCTGCTTCCAGGAACCATGGGAAGAAACGAAAGGGAAAGAAGAAGGTAGTTGACGATGTTGTAGAGGGGAAGTTGGTGTCCATGAAGACGGCTGACGATGTTATAAAGCGTATCATGTGGGATGGTACCCTGCAGAGTGATGACTTCCTTGTCGGATACTGGGATCGCTTCCGCGGAATCATGGAGAAGTACTTCTCTGCCTTCTCCTGGGAAGATATTGCATCTGTTGACTACACAGTGCTGGCCATACCTAAGCACAGGATCCAGTACTTTAAATATAAAACCGAGATAGTGTGGGACAAGGGCTCCAGACTGGACAATGTGTTTGGGTCAACTGGGAGTAAACTGACCATTACAGATGTCATCGAGAGATACGAGAAGAACCGACAGAATCAGGACCAGGAAGAAGATAATGATGAAGACAAGGATGTGGATGAAGATGAAGACAGCGACAGCGATGATGGCATCACTGTAACTATTGGCGGCATCAGTAATGGTACATCAACCCAGAAACCGACATCAGACACCAACCACTACGTCGCTGGAGGAAGCAAAGATAATGATTGGCAAGCTGATAATGAGGTCAATCCTTTCTGGAAGGACAAACTGCGACCGAACTACTTCATCGCTGTGAGGGTGACAGACCAGGAGGTGCTGGAGAACCTGGAGAGTGTCCAGGACTACATCCTGGAGAACGAACCACGGTACAGCAGTTGCTGCATTCCTGGAGCCTCCCTCCACATCACGCTGTGCACCATGGGACTTGGCACCCCCGAGCAGGTCAGCAACGCTGTGCAGGCGATCCAGAACATGAAGTCAGACTTGGAAGCCTCTGTCCCAAAGGAGCCTCTGAGGCTTGTTGGGGTGGGCAACTTCTTCAACAGGGTCATCTATGCCAAGGTGCAATGCCCAGAAACATTCGTCCCCTTTGTGGACCATGTGAAGATGTGTTTGAACGAAGCTGGGGTGGAAATTAGGGATGGGTACGAGTTTGTTCCACACATGACCATTATGAAGACAACACGACCAGTGTCTCGACTGATGGGAACCAAGGAGGTCAGCCCGTTTCTCTATGACAGTTTCGCTGATATGACATTTGGGTGTCAGAGCATAGATGCCATCCATCTTTGCTCAATGGAAACAGAGAGGCGAGAGGATGGCTTCTACTTGTCTCCCTGTCACATCAACTTCAAACAGTCAGAATAAACTACAGGACAATCAGTGTTAGTTGGAAATGTGATATGGTACTTTAAAAATAAGATACATAAAATATTTTGATGTTTTAGCAGAATGGTACAAAGAATGATTTTCACTGTTTTATTAATAGTGGAGAATACACCTTGACCTCAGAAGGGCATGCTGGGCATGCTGAGGACATCATGCTTTGTGAAACTGAAAACACGATCTTGTCAGTCTGGATCGTGTAACAAAAGGAACAAGAACCAGTCTGGTTTCAGTATTTTTCAAATATGATTTTTGCTTCTATACAGCATTTCTGAGTAACGTTGATCAAATGTTTTCTCCAGCTGACTGGATCAAGTTCCAAAAAGTCTATCTGTGATTCATATGCCATTAAATCATTATACTTGCATTTGTATGTTCGTTTCTGTTTGTATGTTCTGTCTTACATTACTTCAGCTTAAGTAACACATCCGCTGACCTTGACTGACAATTTGATGTTATAGATTGTTTTGATAACAAAAATATTCAAAATGATTTTATATGACCAAAACATAAATCATTCCAAAGGTTAATTGTTTTACAAAACATATGTTAGATTTGTGACCAAAACAGGCCAAGACCTTCTATTACAAATCTAACTTTTAGATTACTGAATAAATCTCCAAAGTTCGTTTCTTTTCACAGACCAACTGACCAAATTTTTCACTATCAAACTTTCGAATAAACATCTGCACACTAGACCAGAAGAAGAAACGGGAACAGGTGAAACCGATCATTGCTGGTGTATACAGTGATGGCCTGCTGAAGATGCATATAAACAAATACAAAATGGGAACAAATACACATTAACAAAAAACGTTGAATATAAAGGCACCAATATCAATATCAGTTGTATCCTATTTCTAACTCTGACTCAACACCACTCAGTGTTGATGCTTATGAACATAGATGGATCCACGACTACCATGAGTAACGATCCGCATCATCGAGGTGCCTGGTCACATGATGTGTCAATCTTCCCATGATATGTTTAGGGGGACCAGTTGTTCCTTGGAATCCCACAATGAGACATGGGTCAGTGGGGGTCTGCATTTGCTTCCCACAGTGGAAACTGAGGATCTGCTCTTGGTGTAGACAGAGGGACATCGGAAAACGAAGCTGGGACAGGATATTTACTCCTATACCCCCTAAACTTAAAATACTGCTCTGTAAATGATCCAATAAGCACCCCTAACCATCTTCTATTCCAAGTCATTGTTCTATGTGCCTCTTACTGAGTTCAAAACATTACATGATGCATCATATCTGTTGTAGTATACATTACAGATTTTGTACTGAAGACAGTATCAAAGAGGTAGTCACTATTATATAAACCTTATCAGAGACTTAGGGTCTCTGGTTTCATTGATACTGAACCAAGTCTTATAACTCCTCCTTCAGTGTGTAGGATATTACTAAGCACCTTCATTTGTCCAATTTTTAAGCACCCATGGTTATTACAACAAGATGCAAAACTAATATTTCAAATTCTCGTTTTATTCATTTGTAAGTTTTATACAATGTGACAAGAATGATAATGATCATATCTATTATAGTCTGTTTGGCTCAAAATCGGACCGATGAATTGCAGTCTAACTCGAAAACTACTAAACATATAATGCTAGATGAAACACTGATCATAATCAAAACATCAGACCGACTGATTTTTTTCAGAATTTATGTCCTAAAAATAACAATGTTGTTTAACAAACTATCATTAAATATCTTGACACAGTTCACTATTTGTTACGAGGGAGGGGTGCAAAGAGAGGAACAGCCAGGTGTGCAAAAAGGGATGGAGACGGCACAGCACAGGTTAATGAATCAATGACTTTGTTGGCACTTGTTTCACGTGGACAAGGTGTCACCTGGCTGTTTCCCCTTTGCAGTCCTCCCTCATAACAAATTGGTGAAATGAATGCATGAGCAAGTGAGAGAAGCCTGTCAAAGATCAGGGATAAAGCAATGGGACCATGGACATGAAGAATACAGCAGCCATGTATGAAAGACCATTAGCGTCATAAATAACCTCCTCTTCTCCATAAAGGCTTGAGAAATACATACAATCAGCCGTTTTGTTGATATTTCCTGCGAGTAAAATATTTTCATGTACCAAATTCAATTTAAGGATAAAAAATAAATAATCCCAATAACCTAATTTGTTAAATTTACAAAACAATCAAAAGATATAATTTTGTTGATATTAAAAAGTTTAGATATCGATATCTTCAGTAAAAAGTAAAAAGGTAAAGTCTTGTACATTTTACAGGTTCGAACACATGTCCTCCAATTTCAAACAGAAATAGATTAGTGCAAAACAGTATTTAGAGTTATCTTCCTTTGACAAGGAAATGCAATATACAGAAACTACAGTCTGCAACATTGCACAACATGAGATCAGCTAAATAACAAGGCGTTTTGTCGATTGCATGTAACAGTTGCTGGAAATATTCGGAGTCTGCAGTACCATATTTTCCCGAAGTTGTCATCAATCAGGTAAGCCGTTGATCAACGTTTATTCACATGAATTTGCCTACCATGCACTTTCCAGAACTTGTATTTTAGGTGTAACCAACAACTATGCAGTACGCGTGTCGAATTAGAGAAAGTTGTTATGTTTTAGCTTTATGATAGAAAGAATGCAAAAATATTTAACATTTGCCTGAAATAATTCCTGTAATACCTGCCTATTCCTGCACAGAATCAGAAGAAACAGACGCGCACCACTGTGAGAGCGGTTAACCGCCCTCTCTGTCAGGCAACTGTGACGGCACGGTTCGATATTTGTTATTTAGTGTTCGAATCCCAACAGGTGATTACGTAACCACAGCACGCATTTAAATCAGTTGTTGTTACAGATCACGTAATGTTAGTGCTGAATGGGTTCAGGTTTTCATATGGAATATTGCACATATAAATATATCCACCAAATCTGTTTATAAAGGAAAGAGATTTGTTTTCACCAACGTCCGAATGCTATCTGGGTTTCTAGCAATCAGGGTGCCATTGTGCAAAGGGGCAACTGTAGCGTCCTCGTCATAACATAGACATGATATTCACAGGGCTAAGTTTTGTATGTCAGCACCAGAAGCAGATATTTTCATTAATTCAAGATAACTTGGATATCCAGTTAAAGTTCTATTCAAATTATGAAATGGTTAAAAAACTGACAATCAGGTGTTTGTTATCCTAGTTTGATATTATTTTAGATTGTTCTGTCACGAAGAATGTATGATCTCTATGTAGTTACAAGACACTGAATCCAGTTTATGACATCGGTTAATGACATTTGAGAAAATAATGAAGTATTGTGGAGCAGCGTGTTCTATTTAGACCATTGTATTACAAACAGTAGATATTTTGAAAATTGGGACTTTTAATGTTTCAGAATCAGGTTTGTATTTTTTCATAATGGGTGCAGTATCAATCAATTTCATGATTAGAGCTGATTTTGTTAAATGTTCAACATTCATCCCATTATAATGATCATATGGCCTGTATACACCCAAAACAAGTCAACAGTCAGTGAACGTCATGGATGTCCGTCCTTCGTTCTACAACATGTAGAGGCCTTTCATTGTCCTACTTTAAGTGTGCAGTAGCTAGGCCTTACTACAAACTACTGAGAGCAGAGCTCCAGATAAGATTTACCTCATGTGAGTACTGTACCCACTGTATTTATTTGGAGAGGGTATTATGAATGTTGAGTGGGTATTTCATTTTCCGTTACCTACTGCTTTCAAATATGTGGGTATTTCAGCGATTTTACTCAGCTAAGTATCACGTCATTGAATAAGTTTACTAAGCAGCTATGTACTGCCTTATGTCATACCTAATCAAAACCAACTTTAATATAATGGAAATGATTTCATAAAAAATCACTCATCCTGCCTACACTGACAGTACAACTTGACAGCAACCAATGTCTTTCTCATAATGCAAGCGATTTTTATAAATTTATTTCGTACGCATGTTTTAAACCTTTTGTATCTAACACTTTAAATGCTTAATTGGTATGCAACAATTATTTTTCAATGCGTAACTGGAAATGCAGCTTATCTGGGCCTCTGTGAGAGATGTACATTATATGTTGTTCACCGGTCACGAGGGGGGCATGGGTTGATGTACCCTCGATGTTTGTTTATGTTCCCTGAGCCCGAAGTGAACAATGTATTTATCTTACCGAACACCTTAATGTTAATTTTGAATTGTTTGAAGCACGGGTACAAATCATTTTGTAGCCATCGCTAGATTTTGCTGACAAGGAAAACAGATTTAGAGTTATCTCCCTTTCATCAATTTGCATTAGCAAAACATCGGTAATTTCCGTACATCATGTGTGATTCAATGTTATTCGAGATAAAGAATTACTACCATGAAGTACAGAATGAGTTGCCATTGACAGCGGGGTACATTGAAATGTTACTTGCTTGTAAGCGGGGTACATTGAAAAAAATAGAAGAGCGCGCTCAGCCAATCAGAAAGCGACATTTATGTGTGAGGTAAGATAAATATGTGTGTATGCTGTTCCAGTCATGGCTGAACTGGCGTTGAAATACTTTGGGGCTGGATATCAGCTCGCAAAACCGATGTTCCCACAAAGACTCTCTGTGAAGACCGAGGGAAGCACCCTCCATATTGTCACCTTTCAAACCGACCAAAAGGACACACAGATTTTCTTCCATTTTGATGGTGAGGGTATTTCGTGATTTCTTGTGAGTGAGTGTGTGAATGAGTTTAGTGTTACACTGCAGTCAGCAATATTCCAGCTATATGGCAGCAGTTTGTAAATAATCACGTCTGGACCAGACAATCCAGTGATCAACAGCATGGGCATCGATATGATGACGTGTCAACTAAGTCATAGTGGTGGTCCGATTAATTGAAATAATCGAAGATTGGTCGCAGTGACTAAACGACCAAGCAATCAAACATGTTTTGACGTAATCGAACACGACCAATCATGGAACACTTGTTTGCATTGACAATATTTTTCACAAGGCTGGTTTTGTCTGTGTCATTAAATTTACATTTCATAAGCACTACAAGCTCGTTCCAAGTCATGATTGAATTTATCTTAGAGAATCCAGGAAATATGTGTTCCTAACATACTAATCATCAATTAAATATGCAAAATTTGCAAAAAACAAAACAAATTACTACATGTTTTTTGGGGGTTTTTGTTGTTTTGTGCATTAAAAGAATAACAGAAACATTTAAGAAATGACGCTAACCAATTATTTTCAATGATTGATCAGTTGTAATGGACCAATCATCAGTTATTAGATATTAACCAATTCCCAACACTACTATGTCAGCAAGCATGGGTCTTCTGGGTAAGATCAGAGAGGGTAGATCTCTTTGTAACTCTTTGTATAAAGGATCTCTTTGTATAAAGGTGGGTAGATCTGTATAAAGGTATAAAGGTATAGAGAGAGGGTAGATCTCTATAAAGGTATAGAGAGAGGGTAGATCTCTTTGTATAAAGGTATAGAGTAAAATAAAGGTATAGAGAGAGGTAAATCTCTTTGTAGGGTAAAGCTTTATTTGCAGTTGTCTCATTCTTTAGAATTGGACTCAACTTAGCTTCAATGGCAGTTTATACAAGTTTTAATCAAGTCGTTAAATGTCAAAATCCACAAACCCAGTTGTACCTCGACTGACTGAAAGTAAAATGAGCAAGTATTTATTCTGGCCTGCTTGTCTTTAGCTGTCCAGTGTTCCCAGGAAACAATCAACAAATGAAGGTGAAACTTCAAATGTTTTTTTTCACCAATAATAACATCCCAATTATATTTAAAATCTGATTTTCATTATGGCTGAAAATCCGATTTCTGGCCATTTTCAAAATATGATTTAATTTTCTACATGTGTAGTGGGGAGTGGGGTCTACATTTTTGTGCCTTAATCTAAACTTTGTGATTGTTTCATCCAGGTTATTCCTGTTGAAGGTATGTGTGGTTCATATAATCAGATTTTTATTATATAACGTTCATCCCTAAGTAGTTTACAGAAAAGTTTGTCATGCAGTGTGCAAAATAGTTTCCAAATTTTTAGCTATGCCTGAAAATATTTCACTATATCCCACAAAATATTTCACTAGTCTGACTGAAATTGGAATGTAGACACAGGTTTCATCATTAAGCTGCTAATATGACGATTATTTTTATCAGGCCATAGTCTTGCATGATTTAAAAGTGTATTATAACTAACAAGTCGGAGAGAGTGATATATTTACAAAATGACCCCATGAAAATTCACCAGTGACTGGAGATTCACTGGCCCAACTGGATTTTTACTAGCCTGTTGACTACACACCCACATAACTTCCCAGTGTATTAGTTACACACACACACAGCCATATTTACAGTGTCTCATCTTGGCGGATGCCAGACCAGTCACAAAGAAAAATGTAGTGTAAAGCTGAAACAAGCTCCCATATATAATTATACGTTGGTTCAGGTTTTAGGAGAGTTTATGATTTACTTTGTCAAAGAAGGATCTTACAATGATTACCAAGAAAAGATCTGAATTACTGATTGAGTTGGATGAACCACTGCTGTGAACAGTATTTCAGTGGTATCGCTGCATGTCAGCTTGTTGTTGACGGAAAGCCCAGAGTGATGTAGGTCTAATGTGGTCCGTGAAACCCATGAGTACTGGAATGATGGTGGCAAACTTGGGAACTTCATTATGATGAAACAGGATCTGAAAGAGTGATAGCCGTGAAGATCCGGGTTAGAATTGATATTTCCAGTAACCCATGCTTGTTGTAAGAGGTGACTAACAGGATCGGGTGGTCAGGCTTGCTGACTTGGTTGACACATGTCATCGTATCTCAATTGCGTAGATCGATGCTCATGCTGTTGACCACTGGATTGTCTGGTCCCGACTTTGTTATTTGCAGACTACTGTCATATACTGAGAGCTACGTAAAACTAAACTCACTCACTCACTCACTCACTCACACTCACACTCTCACTCTCTCTCACTCACTGAAATGGTGAGCTTAGGTATAATGCCTATTTTCAGGAATATTTTGTTCAGATCGCCAAATATTTGTACAACACCTTAACAACTTAACAATTTGAGTAAGTGTAAGATATTTTGTAATGTTACAGAATCCTATCCAAGTCGGATTCCAAAAATAAAGGTTTCATCTTCAACTCTGACAGAGGGCCAGAAAGGGGACCTGAGTGAATTTCTTCATCATAAGGGTAAGGCAGAGGAATACAGCAACTCCCCAACACTGCCATTGTTGTTGGAGCATGCTGGGAAGTGGCTGCAAGAGAATTATGGGAAAAAAACAAGTGAAAGCAAACCATCGAAGAGAAATGAAATTCGAGAAGAGGACTGGCAGCTGCACGCAAGTCCTGAAACGGTTGCTGCACCAAGGGAGATAACTACAAGCACTGCAAGGGAGACAACTCCTCCAGGAAGAAAAGCAAAACAGAAGAATAGAGGAGGGAGTGTCCAGTGGCAGTCATGGGCAGATTCAGTAATCCAATCAAACCCTGCGGATGATGAAGAAACCAATTCTGACTGGAATGTTGTAGAGTCAAGGTCAAGACCAAGTAAAGGTTCAAAGGAAGTAAGTCAGGTGAAGTTCACTCTGGACACAGTGCCGAAGTTTGATGTGCCAGTTGACTCCCGCCGCGCGAATTACTTTGTTGCAATACGTTGCACCAATGGTGAGATTGGGGATGGTGTTACCGAGGTTGTGAAGAAGATGTTGAGCGTGGATCATGTGTACCAGCCAATCTGCTACAACCGCAACGAGGTGCATGTCACCCTCACCACAGTTGCACTGCACTCCGACAGGGACATCAACAAAGCTGTTGCAGCTCTACAGGATGCTCGGGAAGTTCTGATCAATCACGCACCAACTTCCTGTCTCACAATCAGTGGCATTGATGAATTCCAAGGAAGCAAGGTTGTGTTTGGCAAGGTCAAGGTTGAAGAAGACGTCCTCCTTCTGCGAAAGGTCGTGCGATGGGCTTTCGAGAAAAAAGGCATCTATCCAAAAGATAACTTTGGGGACTACCATCCTCACATGACCCTTGCCAAGGTCAATGTTGGGTTCACTAAGAAGACAGGTTTGCGGAATATCTCCCGTGCAGTGTACGAGTCTCTCCTTGGCTATAAGTTCGGCCAGCAGGGCGTGAAGGGAATCCACTTGTGTCAAATGGGCCATGACAGGAGAGCTGATGGTTTCTATATCTGTCCTACGCAGATTGACTTCAAGAATTAGAGGCAAATTAACACAATGCTTTAACTCAACACACTAACATAACCCTTTAACACACAAAAAAATAAACACTAAAGTAGTGTAGAGCATATGACTGAAACAGAACACACAGCTACGACAGTGGAACACAACACTAAAACACAGTAGTTAGACACAGCACTAAAACACAACAGTTAGACACAGCACTAAAACACAATTCAAATTAACAATAATATATGATAACACAACATTATTACAAACCCCAGAGCTTGATGTGTCGACACAACTCAAGAACACAATCCTATAAAACATCACTGTATAAGGTTGCAAATATACAGACACATTCAACATCAACCTGTAAACATGATAAACAAACAATAGAAATATCATGGACAAATATGTTTGCATATTTCACAGAAACTAGTGCTTGGAATTACTTTGAAATGTTTCAGAAAATGATCATCACCATGATTGCTATCACTGATTGCTCTGCTTCCCTTCATGGAACAGTTGCAAGACTGAAACAGTTTACAGAGTTGATATATATTCATCTAGCTCTTGGGTTTAAGGACTAGATATTAAGACTGAAAACAGTTTACAGAAATGATATATATTCATCCAGCTCTTCATCCTGGACAAATTCGTTAGAAATGACGCATTTGTTGAAATACATTAGAAAAGAACATGTGTGCCGTTATATGTTCAACAGGAAGTGGTCAGGTCCTTGTCCTATGCCTTGTCTCACCCTGATCATGCTGATGATTTTATTGTAATAGACTGCTGGTAGGTCTCAACAAACCTCAGCTTTACAAACTGCAAAACTTCACACTACAGCTGCTTGCATTGTTTCTTTATTATCCCAGTTAGATCACATAACTCCTATTCTCAAGTCCCTGCATTAGCTTCCTGTTGGATCTCATATTGACTTTAAGCTCATCTGCATTGTCTACAAAATCTTCCCCCAGCTCATCTCAAGGATCTCATCACAGAAAGCTACCCAACCAGAACTCTTCGATCCCATAACCAGCTTTTGTTAACAGTCTCCAAGATCTGCTTAGCTTCATTTGGCAAGGTATCTTTCCAACATGCAGCCCCCTGTCTGTGGAACGCTGTACCTGTCAACTTTAAATTCTGATCCTGTCGCAAGTTTCAAATCTCATCTAAAAACCTATTTTTACAAGAGCACCTATTACTTGAACTGTTCGAACCCACCATGTATATTTATTGTATATTATCCTCTGAGCATGCACATTATAAATGTCATTTATCATTATTATTATTAATTCTCAACTTATTGTTTTATATGTATTAGACATTATTGTAGATTATAAAACTTTTCACATGAGTATTTGATTTTGAGCAGTGGGGAACTCACACAAGTAGTTCTTCAACTGATGTGTCCAGTATTCTCCTGTTGCTTTCTGTACATCCTCCTGTGTCAGTGTGACCTGACTGTGTACATCCTCCTGTGTCAGTGTGACCTGACTGTGTGTACATCCTCCTGTGTCAGTGTGACCTGACTGTGTGTACATCCTCCTGTGTCAGTGTGACCTGACTGTGTGTACATCCTCCTGTGTCAGTGTGACCTGACTGTGTGTACAGGGTCAGTGTGACCTCCTGTGTGTACAGGCCTCCTGTGTTCGTGTGACCTGACTGTGTGTACATCCTCCTGTGTTCGTGTGACCTGACTGTGTGTACAGCCCAGCTGGTTTGTGTGGGCAGGGATTTATCTCTTGTTTTTTTTAAAAAATAAGTCCCCTTTGCAGAAAACTGAGGGAAAATCATGTTAATATTCATAGTTAATTTGTTTTAGGCTTTTTGCTTTATTATGAGCAACTGTGATTTTTAAAATTCAACTTCACTTTGTACATTCATTTGCTGCTGAGAGTAGTACAGTATCAGCCTCCGTGCAGGTCACCATGGTCCGTCAAGATGGACAATCAGCTATCTGGAATGCATTATGAATAATATCAATAAGTCGACTGAACTCAGTGAGAGATTGATGCTCATTCTATCGACCACAGTTGTGACATTGCTGATGTGATTATTTACACTTTGCTGTGATATTGTGTGAATCATGACTAATGAATATAAATATTCACTCACTCACTGAATGGGTTAGTGTTATATACAGCTACAGTCAATTGTTTAACATGGAGATTTTGAATGAACAATATATTCTGTTTGTCTACATGAACCTTATCGACTTCTGTTTTTAGAAACAAATGTTGAGGCAGTTTGATATTGTTTTTATCTATAAAAGGTATAAAAGCTGTTTGCAAAACTTCTAAGATTACTGGTTTTTGTTTTGTTTTTAAGTGCAATAATAAAGTGACCAATTCTCATTTTAACTGGTTTCTCAACATGGACTTGACAATCATGGAAGGTTTTCCTTGTAATGGGCTGACAAAATAATGTTTGCAATTTCCTTGATAGAGATTTGAGGAACTTTCTGGTGACTGTGGAAACTCATGTACCAAGTTATTATGATCCCAAAATCAAGGATAAAAGTAATGACAAGAAAAAAAAGTTAAAAAAGATATTGATAGGGTTCGAACATGTGTGTTTTGTGTATATCTTTCAATTTCAAGATTGTGTATTCAGTATCCAAGGCCTCCACCCAGAGTACATGTATATATAGTGTAGATATATATAGTCAAGTCACAATGTATATAATTAACAATTATAATGATTAAGTTTCCCATCACCAAAGGTAAATGAAGCGTAAAATTGACAGTTGCCTCCCTTAGCTGTCCACATACAGGTGTCTGATGTGTGTGCACTTTAGAATATACAGTGCTAGAGATTCGGACATAGTGTTATCTGTCGTAACTTTCTTAAATTTGTCTACATTACATAAGTATCGTGTACAAATACTTGGTAAAAACTTGTTTCTCAACCTGTTATAAAATGACATGAAGTAATAAAGTGCATTTCGTCTTCAACTGGAGATACATTCAAATTCTTCGAGTCACAGTCATTAATAATTATAATGATTCAGTTTCATACCAAAAGTAAATGAAGCATTCGTAAAATCGAGATTCTTGCGAGGCATTTCGAAGTTGATTAATATATAAGACGAGTATATGGATGACAACTTCTTCTTTATTGTATAACAGGACGTTTCTGGGCTACTTCTTGTCCCTTCTTCTATAGGACCTCTGAAGGGGCAAGAAACGTCTTGTTATATGACCAGAAGAAGGGGCAAGAAGTAGCCCAGAAACGTCGTGTTATATGACCAGAAGAAGGGGCAAGAAGTAGCCCAGAAACGTTGTGTTATACAGTAAAGAAGAAGGGGCAAGAAGTAGCCCAGAAACGTCGTGTTATACAGTAAAGAAGAAGTTGTCATCCACATACTCATCTTATATTTTTATACATTCGTAAAATCGTATGCGCGAAACCTGGTTTAGAGTTATCTGCCCCTGACAAGGAAGTGACGAGGCATCAACGGTTGCAGCGTTCTGTCTCCAGGAAGAGACGATTATTACGTGTTTGAAATGTATTGATGGCATGTGACATTCACAGAAATTAGAACTATGTCCTCCCTGAGCTGTCATCTATCAGGTAGGCCTAATGCTTACTTTCATCTCGGTGGCACTTCCAATTTTCAAAGGTCAATAACAGAGGTCATAGCGGTATGTAAAGTAATGCCTGATGCAGTTTCGGGTTCAAACTCGAACCTCATCAGGCTCATGCCGAGGTGAGTACAGACACGTGACCCCATGTCACGCTCAAGGACACCCCTACAATATATGCAGACCGTGATACCAATCTTATTTCCTTGTGATTTAAAAAATATATATTTCCCCTTGATTTGTGACTGAGAGGTGTTTATATTGCTGTACTAAGTAGCAAATTGCCTGTTGATACACGTAGCTGTCACAATGTTATTACTACAATGTAAATAGAAACACATCTAGGAACGGTTCATTTAATGTTTTAACGGTCGATGGCCGAGTTGGTATGGTGAAAACATGCGCCAGATTTTAAGCTGTTTGCGGTACTTTTTCACTCTTCTGACATCGGTAGTGCGGGAAACCACGCATGCAATTTCGCGCCCTTACACAGAGTGGATGAATATCATCGTTATTTGATCCATTGAACACATATATACCAAGTATATAACGTAAGCATCTCAAGCGGAATGCTTACCATAGATGCAAACGGCCAGGGGTGTCAGGCCAGGAAAGCCACATTTAAAAAATGACTATTGCCGGGAAGGCCACATTTCAATTACATGGCTGTAGCCGGTAAAGCCACATTTCCAATAGATTAATTAATTAATGGATTACCGTAACCGGTAAAAGACTGCTCCTACGCTAAACGCCAAACGATACGTTACCCTCCTACCATCTATGAATTACTAAATTAAAAAAATATGTTAGAAGGTATAATACTATTAGTTTACAAGAAAACCTAACAACACAGCCTTATGCAAATCACGAACCAAATTCTCAAACGTATTCATATTTAGGTGAACTTCATCTTTTTCAGAACAGATAAATTGTCCTATTTTCGACCATGCCGAAATAAACTAATAACAGTGATTTAGATGTCCAAAAGGAAGGTTGAAATAAAATTCTGCTTAAGACTGAAATAAACCATTTCAAGTCACCATTTCTCAATTATTAAAACAAGAAACAACTGTTGTAGAGTGTGTAAAATTGTAAAAGAATCATTTCTATGATTTCAGTCTTTTAAAACATTTTCTGCTGATTTGCATTAGTGAAAACAAGTACAACGTGTCTTTTGATATTGTGAAAAAGTGATTAGGAACACCGAAAATGATCTTTGTTAACATTTTTGCTTGCAAAGTAATATTTACACACAGCAATATCAATCGCCAAAACGTAGCAATATTTAAGCAGTATTTGCATCAATTTCACGTGTGGAATGATTCTATAGGGTATAAAGAGAGCCTAGAATGCATGATATGATTGACAAGCACGAGACATATGCCACGATCAACAGCGGAAGAGAGGGAAAGAGCCATTGGGATGTTGCAGATGGGTTGACATACAATGCTGTTGCCAACGCCCTCGGATGCCACCATATCACGGTTATAAGACTTATTCAGCGCTACAGACAGATTGGGGTCACCGTAGATAGACCAAGAAGTGGACGTCCACGCA